ATTCGTTGATTTCCCTATATATATATCATAAAACAGTTTGTTTTCTGTGTTTCTTTTGACCTAGTTAATTATTATAATGAAGGCTCGGATTCTTTTTTTGCTTTCGATTTTAAAGCAATCAACTTTTGGCTTAAACTGTTTTATTTTGCTTTGGCTTCATTTATTGCAGTCTCACATCAAATTGTACTGGGATGTATTCACGAAATTATTACAGTATCAACAAAATAATACTATTTGCGACTCTAGCAATGTAGTAATGGAGGAGACGTTTTGCCTGTTGCCGTTGTTGTCAGAGTATGAGCAAAATAATAATAATTGCTACTCCAGCCATATAGATATAGTAATGGAGGATAGGCTTTCTCAGTTGCCGGATGAAATTCTTGTATCAATTCTTTCTCAGTTGACATTGAGAGAAGCGGTACGCGCAAGTTCCCTTTCAAGTCGATGGCGATACCTTTGGATGCATGTCACACGTCTAAACTTTGATGTAATCTCAAAGTTTCCATATAAAACGCGGACAAATTCAGATTTTCTTAAAAAGGAAAGGCTGAGGAATATCAATTGTATTAATCAAGTTCTGAATTTACACACATCTCATACTTTAGAAGAATTCAATCTCTGTTTTCCTTTTGAAAATAGTTTCAAATATGAAATTGATAAGTGGCTCAAGTTGGCATCATCAAAGAAGTTCGAAAGCCTTAAACTATTCTTGCCAGTCAAATATTGGTTAAAACATGATCGATATTCCATTCCCATTGAACTTTTAAATCACGGTAGTGGTGATGCTTCACTCTTTGGCTTCGGGGCTCTCAAAAGTCTAACTCTAGAAAGTATTGATGTGTGCAATCAAGTTGCCAATTTGTTTCTCTCCAACTGCCCTCTTCTTGAACAATTATCTATAAGATATTCTCGGGTATTGAAGCATTTGGAAATTGGTCCTTCCCTCAAGTTGAAGCATTTGGAGATATATTTATGCGAGATAGATTACTTGGAGATCTGTAATGCCAATCTTATCTCTTTTAGTTTTATGGGAACGGAGGAAACAAACTTGCGTCTAGAGAATGTTTCTTCAGTTGTTAACCTTCAGCTTAAGGTTTTTCATGGATCGCTTCTTAGACCCGTTGATTTGATTACGACAAAATTCAACCAAGTGGTGAAGCTTTCACTTGAAGCTAATTCTCTCCAATTGAGGGTAAGCGATTTCCCACTTCCCTAAAAGAAAGTTCTGGTGCCTTATTTTTTCGACTTCTTTCTAACTGTTTTATCTTCCTCAGTGTCTTGATTTTGATCATTCTTTTCCGAAATTCAACAACCTCAAATGGCTTATACTGACTGTTGGCGGCGCTACGGATAATACTCCACTTGGAGTTACTCCCTTTCTGCAGGCATCTCCATACCTCGAAATGTTCGAGATCAAGGTAGAGGCTTATTCTTTTTCTTTTGAAATATGGTTAAATTAATGCGCCCTTTTAGTTTTGATCAGGTGTTCAATCTTTAGGACTCAATGAGGGTACTTGAGACTATATATGTTATGTATCATGTCTTGCTTTTGTACCTCTACCTGGAAACTAATGTTGGATGTTTGCAGAGGAATGTAGTACTGTTATAGTATTTTACAATACCGTGTCTAATGAAGGATTAGCATAATCTATATCCTTGTGAAATTCACTAATAATAAACCCATTTCTTTCATTCATCCCTCAAAATTCAAATACACACCTTCAATATCTGATTCAGATTATAAAGGAATGAGTTACTCCACTATATTTCAGAGTATAATTGTATTATTTTTTTTTTCTTTTTCAGATTAAGTGGTATGATACAAGGATCTATGATAGAACTATTATATCCCTATGGTTTCACAGTCCGTTCCAACATCTCAAAGTGGTCAGATATGAAGGTTATCTTGGGGGTAGAGCTGATGAAGAATTTACAAATTACCTTCTTGAATATTCTTTAGCGCTCGAGAAATTCATCATTAGTCCTTTTTACGATCATAAGAGTTCCAAAGTTGAGCGAAGAGCCAGAAGTCGGGCTTGGCGGCAGCTACAAGGAAAATTTCCCCAAGGAGTCGAGCTGGTGATCCTTTAAATCACCCTCTGAGCACCAAGATTTATATGTAACAGTTATGATTTACAAGCACTCTAAATCTAATGCTATATGCAATACTAGGAGCAGATGCAGTAATTTGGAGTAGTGTTTACTTGTATTCGTATATTAGACATTCTCTATCAGTGCTATCTTTAATATTTGTAAATTTTCTATTCTAGTTTTCAACACAATCAATCTATCTATGTTAACCGTGTGATTTGGAGTAGTGTTTACTTGTATTCATAGAAAGTGGGCAAAATCCAATGTAGCACTTCTGTCATTTTTATAACTAGATGCATATTATATGTTCTTTAGTATTACGATTATAAACATAGAAACGTGTATCAGAACTACAGAACATCGACAATTCGATCTCTTCTACTTGTGATGGAGTAATATTTGAAGTCATTTGAGTCAATTTGACTACTGCTTTGGTTAGCACCATTTCGAGAGAACCTAGACTTAGTAAAGTCAAGAAAAAAGGAAGAAAACTTGACCTTGCTTGTAAAGACAGAGAAAATATATATTATAAAAGAGGTCACGGTAATTGAACAAAGAGAAAATGATAAAAATGGAGACTGCAGATCACGTGATGGAAACTCTAGCTGTCTAGAGAAAAGTATTTTGTTTACAGAATGGGCAAACAATATCGCTTTATTTACAAAAAACACTTTTAGGGAAACTGAATTAATAGAAGGCCCAAGTCCTAATAGGTGCCAAAAGAAGATCTAAAAATTCAAAGGAGAAAGAAACTTGGTTGTTCCTGCTTAAACTTGGTTATTTGGATATAATTTTTGTCAAACCATAGATTATACTTTATACCCTACGTCCTAAGTGTAAAATAATTTACTGTACCTTTTTATAACTGAATAAAAAATTCATGAAACTCAGATGATAATACTCACCAACATATCAAGAGGTAAAAAAAAGAAGAGGAGGAAAATCAAAGGAAAAAAAGGACACAGTATGTAGATGGGGGTTAGTGGCAAGGGATAGTACCATTTGCTTTTCGTATTTCACTTAAGAACGGAGGTTACGTGCTAATCCATGAACACAAAACAACTGGTATTTCACTTAACGAAACATAAATTACGCAACGACTAACTAAAAACCGCAACTTTGAAGTTCTGACAATTCAAAAGTTGGAGAAGGTTTTTTTACTAGTAATAAGACGATCGATATTCATTAATAGCGACATACAATACACTTAACAAAGTTGCATAAACGGAAATTAAAGGACATACATATATAGAGAAAGTAGTGATTTTTCTTCTGAAGGTTTTAAGTCTCTATGGCCGAACGGAACTATACTTGAACGTAATGTACTCCCCGTATATTTTCTCCAGCTCGTAAATTCTTTTGTCCAGTTTATGCGTCGCGGCAGAGTCACGCGGATCTGCATATTTAGTACACACAGTTCCTCTCCATGGATTGTTTTCGTTGAACCTCTTTTGCAAGAAATTCTTCAAGTCCTGTGCAGTTTTTTCTGTGTCCACAACAATTCTACCATGTTCCCCTATCTGTTTGTATAAATTGTCACCCCTCTCGTCAATATCTTTTTCTCTCTTCGTGTGCTGGTCAATATCCTTTGTTTCCACAATGTACTCTTGCAAGAACTTATGTTGAGGAGCATATTTCTGCAAAATACAGAAAAACATTTAAACAAGTGCGCGTTACTATGTTATACGACATTAGTTAGTTAATGAAATAAGATCAAATACCGGATCGTTAAGTATAGCTTTGCCCTTGTTATTTCTGCCCCCCATCGTTTGAGTAAATAGATTGAGAGAGAGAGATTGAGATGTTCAAACACATACCTTCACTCCCTTTTTATAGCTGCAAATAAGACGTACTTTAAGTTTGGGGGGTTGGAGGGGGGTGGGTTAGTTTGCTGGTCCTTTATTTACTTTCAATGAAATATGAATGAGCTAGTCGAGACAAATTCAAAAGTATGGATTTAAAATGCAGTACGCTTATAGCAGATTGTTTCTGAAAATGTTGGTGTTAGGTTTATTAGAATTTTTTGAAAAATAAAATAGAAAATGGGGATTCCATTGCATTAATATTTTTGTAAATAGTAAGAGTACAACGATTCTGAGTTAAAAAATTAGACTAACAATGTCTTGTACCTTACAATGTACATAAAGAAAAAAGACAGAAAATAGTCAAAAATCAGAAAATTTGCATGTTGGGAACTTTTTGTATAAGTTGAAACGAAACAGTGTTGAAAACTAATTTGCACATAGTATTAATGCAGCCAAAGATTAAGAGAAAAAGAAGTAATAAGAAACATTACCGTTTAAAATTATTTGAAAAACCTTTTCCAATAAATAAATAAAATTCAGAACCAAGAAGAGAAAAGCTAATTAAATTGTTTTTCCCTACTCTAGAAACTATTAGCCAGTTTCCAAGACTTAAGTTTGATTCACAAACCAAAAATATATTGGAGGTTAGCAAAAAGTCTTTTGGAAAAAACTTTGAACCTTTAATTTATTTATGATGGGATTTTAATTGTACTAAGATTTATGATAATAACAACAGATACCCCTCAAATCAAAACAAGTTAGAATTGGTTATATGAATCCTTACAGAACATGCAACTAGCTTCAATTAAGCTCATCTTAGGCCATTTGTATAATTGGATTTAGGTTTAATCTTTATACATAAATATAGACTTCATTACTTGGAAAATAAGGAGTGTTTGATTATCTTGTTCTTTTAGAAATATTACTGGAAAAAAGGATTTGGAAAACTAAATTTCAATTGATTTTGGAAAAATTGGTATAGTTTTCCAAAACCAAACCGATAAGGTTTGTTATTGTGAATGTTTTCTGAAGATATTCTGAAACCAAATACCATCAAATTATTATCACCCAAACGATTTTACATATCAATGCATAAGGCAGTATATTACAAACTTATAATTCTAATGAATAACTTGGCCACTTGATCCCTTTCACCCAAAAGTTTGACAAGGATCACATATGAATGCGATTAGCTTGTTTGAACCACTATATATATATGATGAGTGGTATTTTCAAATCGAAAACATAATGGAACTTTATTTCATTAATTTTTCAATAGATCATAGAATTAAACCAGTCAACGCAACTTCTGCCATATGTTGAATGTTAAGGAGCATGCAAGTTTCATGCCAACAAAATCAGATTTTTCTTTAAAAAGTAACGAATTACATGCAGACGACCTATTCAAAAAGCACATAACATATCTATGTTTTTGTCATGCGAACTTTTACAGTATCAAAAAAACAAATGTTATATATCGCAGTTGAAAATGGCGTGATCATAAAGTTGTTATTGTTGGGAAATAATAATATCTCGCTCAGGATTAATATTCACGGTAAATAACAATAACACAAGAGAGTAATAACAATATTAAATTTTTTAACGGAGTAAAATACAATACCCGAGCGTAACAATATATTATACTAATATAATATTACAACTTAGTAGTGTCAAGAGACTATTACACCTTTAAAAGAAATAACACTCTTCATTTTAAATACCTCACTACGATATTACTCTCACTCACTGTTTATCTCACAAACTACGATATGTGTTTGAAATTGAACGAAACACTCGAAAAATTGCCGCACTCTCCAACCAATCAGAAGATTGGTTTCTTTTACTTGCAAATCTGCAGTTTGCATATAGTGGTCACAATAGAATTATAGGTATCTAGGTATAGAATATGTGGGGGGAAAGAATGGAGCTGAACTATAGAGATAATAATCCACCTAGTTTGAGTAGCCAAGTTACCCTATATTTTGAACTGGAAGGCATGTGATTATTAGTTGTCAACAAAAACAAATGTTCACTACGAAAATAAGCTTTTTAGTACTACTTGATTGCGGTACATTTTTAAGATCATTGTAATACCTCCTACGTTGTTGACTTCTATGTGAACTTGTTAAATGTGCCAAGACTCTCTCTCTATATATATTTGATTGGAAACCGAAATAGTTACTCTGCCTTACACGAGATATGGATAAAGTCTATATATATATATATATATATATATATATATATTCTACGCTCTCTAGACACACTTGTAAGATCATACTGAATATGTTATTGTTTGTTCTTGTTGTTGAGAACGGACCTAGGATTTTAGGGCCGTAATTTGTGAGTCCTCCATATCATTAGATCACAAAGTATAATTAGTGCGCAAATTTAAAACTTATCTTAAGAAAAGGCAAATTAATCATATTTGGACAGCAGAGTAAAAAAGGTCAATAAGAAAAATTACAATGAATATTATCTTGGATAAAGGAAAAAGGAAAAGCTTCTTAAATAATAAAGCTAACAATAACATAAGGAGAAAAGAAAAAAGTCCAAGTGTATATAAATAAAGAAAAGAAGAGTTAGTCGCTTTAAGACAAAGATAATGTGCTGAGTGTGACGCATATGTGGATCCAGATTTTGATGGTAACGAATGTCATTGTATTTAATGTAAACTAACTAGTAGTCAAGGAGATGAATTAGAGTTCGCTCTGTTTTGAATTAATCCGATTTGGTTTGATCCATTTTGAATTTATTCGATTTACTTCACAAGATTTTTTGGTGCATAAATAAACACATGATAGCCACACCGAAAATGATTGCTACTTTCAAGGAAAAAAACAAAATTAATTAGATAAAAAAGGAAAATGATTAAAAGCAGCAACACCAACAACAAACCCAATTGATAGAAACTTAGGGTCCACCAAACTGTATAGAGAACCTCATTCTCTATCAGTTCCCACAGAACACACGTAGACATAGATAAGTAAATGACACAACAGAGTTTTACGTGAAAAACTCCCAACTCACGGGATTAAAAACCATGACCTACACTCGTAGGATTTCAACTTCACTACTGAGCAAACTTCAGATTACAAACTATTGTAACCTAGGAATTAAACTCGTAATCTCTCACTCACCTATAATAACTCTATTACAAAGCTCACAACTCGACTAACCCTAGCCAAGACACAAACACAAGGTTTATAGTTTTACAAATGATTTCCTACATAATGCTTCTAGCTAAGCTAAGTAGGAATTACAAATAGATCACTCTAATAAAGGTACAACACAACTAAGGACATATGGTAACACAGTGCTGGAAACTGGTCCTTTGTTCTGTTGTTCTTCGTTCTTGAAGCCTTGCAGTCACTTCCAAGATGGCAACACTAAGAGAGAAGCTTGATCGTTTTTGAAATGTTCAAGTGTATATTTTTTCCTTGCTTCATGTTGATAATATACAAGTGATGTCACTTGGATGATGCAAGCAATTATCCGGTACAAGGCATGCTCCATAAAGTAGCTGCTGCACTGTTTGCACTATTGCGTGTGTGCATAGAAAATAGTACAACGACTTTACAACTGTGGGGAGTGAACTTGTACTGTCAACAAGGGTACTTGTGTTCATCTATTTCCTCTATCATCTCTTTGACTCTAGTTATTGAAACTTGAGGCAGACTTTGGGACTTGATGTTCTAGAGCACGTTGAAGATGTGTAATAGGTTCTTGATCTGGTTCTTATCATAAAGTTTATTAGATCATCAAAATACAAAAAAGGCACATAACTTATCAATTTTCCCTTTTTGATGATGACAAACTTATAATTGAAGTTTCCCGTGAGAACCAGATCTCTATACAATATTTCCTGTAAGAAGACGCTTATTCCCCTTGGGAACATGTTCCAACCCCTGTTTCCCCTCTTAATTTTTTTGTGGGGAGTGAACTTGTACTGTCAGCAAGGGAACTGATGTCCATTTGTTCCCTCTATCATCTCTTTAACTCTAGTTATTGGAACTTGTGGCAAACATTGAGGCTTGTTGTTCTCGAGCACGTTGAAGATGTGTAACAGGTTCCCGATCTGGTTCTTATCATAAAGTTTGTTAGATCATCAAATACAAAAGGCACATAACTTATCAATGTCCCCCTTTTTGATAATGACAAACTTATAATTGAAGTTCCCTTTAAGAACTAGATTTCCATACAATATTTCCTGTAAATAGACGCTTATTCCACCTGAGAACCTGTTCCAACCCATGTTCCCCCTCTCAATTTTTCTTCCCCCTTTTGGCATCATAAAAAGATTATACACAAGTAATATGCAAAAAAGAAGTCTAGAAACGTTAACACATACCACATGTGTGCACACAACATGGCTAAAAATATAGCGTAAGAGTGTAACATGCATAGCAAAAGACGAGATGCTCATTAGTTTGAATGAGAAGAGAACATAAATAGTAGTACCGTTGTTACACAACCATTCACAAAAATAAACAACTTAAAAGTACCAGACATAGAAACAACAAAAGAAAGACTAAGGTAGGACAAACATCATTCAACTGGATAATGGGAAGGGAATTGTTTTAAGGAGCACTAGAAGGGGGACGCGGGGATGAGGAGGCAAGGGTTCTGAGGAGAAGATCCATTCGAGTATTTGCAGACACTTGATCGTTAAGCAGCCTCTCTTTCAGGTCCTCGACCTGTTTTCTGAGATCTGCATTTTCTTTTGTCAAGAGGGCAACCTCTGTGCCATGTGCACTGCTGGAACTATGTGCCTCCTAAGCCTGACTAAGCTGCCCTTCAAGAATGGCATTTCGTGCCTTCAACCTCCTTATCTCCTCATTTGCAACATTCTGAGCATCAATCAATTGAGAGATAGTGGAATTTCTGTCAACACGTCCTTTCTTATCAATACACCCACATTCCTCTAAGGTGGTCCTTGAGAAGGTCTTCTTGCGAGTTCCGACTGTTGCTTTACCCAAAGGG